AATCACTTTACAGAATAACCCTTCTGCCTTTGTTCTCTAAAAAATAATCCCCCAGTGCTCCCTTCAGCAGCACATATACTAAAATTGAAACAATACAGAGGTTAGTATGGCCCCTGCGCAAAGATGACATGCAAATTCATGAAGCATTCCACATTTTTATGCTTCTAAGTAAATACAATTTTTTATTAGTAAAAAAATATATATATATCCCCCAAAGATTTTTAGAAAAAAATTTTTTTTATCCTCACCCAAGGATATGTTTACTGATTTTTTTTAGAGAGAGAGGGAGGAAGAGCAAAACATCAATGTGAGGAACATCGACCAGCTGCCTCTAAGCATATTTGCCACTTTGTGTGTGCCCTGATCGGGGATTGAACCGGCAATCTTTTGGTGTAAGGGATGATGCTCCAATCAACTGAGACACCCAGCCAGGGCACCCCCAAAGGTTCTTAAATAAAAATCAGCAAAACCTCTCTATTAGTTTTCTATTGTTGCCATAACAAATTACCACAAACACAAAACAATACAAATTTATTCTCTCACAGGGCTATGTTCCTTGATGGAAAGTGGGAGAAATCTGCTTCTAAGCTTATTCAGATTGTTGACTGAGTTTAGTTCCTTTTGGTTGTAGAACTGAGGTCTCCATTTTCTTGCTGGCTGTCAGCTGCGGCCGCCCACATTCCTTCTTATGCTTTCCATGTGGCCCCCTCCAGTAAAGGCAGGTTGAGTCCCTCTCACACTTCAAATCTGACTCCAACTGGAGAAAAGTTCTCTGCTTTCATGTGATTAGACTGGACCCGCCCAGAAAAACCAGGATAATCTGCAATAGAATAATTTCGTATCTGCAAAGCCCCTTTGCCATATAATGTTACTATAATTCAGATTCCAGGGATGAGGGTATGGGCATCTTTGGTGGGGGTGGAGTGAGCAGGTGTCATTCTATCTAGTGCACCCAACCTCTGGCCTCCCAACGAAAGCTCATCAAGTCAAAAGTCTCAAATCTCATGGATCTAAATTAGGTGTGATGAGGCTCTGGGCACAATACATTAACTACAATCCCTGGGGCACAATTCCTCAAAAAAAAGTTATCTGCTCCCAACATGCAATGGTGGGTCAGGCATAGGGCAACAGTTATGGACATTCTAATCCAAACAGGGAAAATGTAAGAGAAAAATCCAGCGGTCCAAAGCAGTTTCAAAATCTGAGCAAACTCCATTCCATTTGCAAGCCAGATAAAAATCCTTGGTGCCTTCTGCTCCACCTCGACACACCCTTGGTTCCACCCTTCCTTTTTTAGGAAAACTGGCACATTTACACCTGAGTAGTTTTATCAGCCAGCTTCCTGCCAGTAGCATTTAGGGGGTTCATAGCCCTCTTTAACTTCCTACAGTCTCTTTCAACCCAAACTGTCATTATTTCTGCTAGTACAAATCCTCAAGAACCCAGAAGGCTTTACATGAATCTCACAAGGGTTCACTCCATTAGTCAGACTCACATCCACAAACAAACTAGGGTGCACCTTCAAGACTTTGCGTGGAAATCTCCTCAGCCAAATATGCATGTTTATCACATTAAGCTCTTTTCCACATAACCACAGGACACAATTCTAAGCACATTTGCCACTTTGTAATAAGGATCCTCTTTCCTCCAGTCTCCAATGAATGCATATCCCACTTTTACCTTACCCCTCACTAGCAGAGGCATTAATATCCATATTTCTAACAATAATCTGTTGTTCTGAGCCTTTTCTATCATACTCCTCAAAATTTTTCTGGCTTCCACACTTTTAGGTAATAGTATCCTACTCCTCGTATCAAAATCTACACTAGTGTACTACTGCTGCCATAACAAATTACCACAAACGTAGTGGCTTAAAACAACAGAAATGTATTATTTCACAGTTTCTGTAGGTCAGAAGTTGGGTGAACATGGCTGTCTCCTGCTTAGAGTCTCACAAGGCCAAAATCAAGGTGTATTCCTTGCTGGAAACTCTGGGGAAGAATCTATTTTCCACTCATTTAGGCTGTTGACCAAATTCAGTTCCTTGTGGCTGTACAACTGAGGTCTCCTTTTCCTTGCTGTCAGCCAAAGCTGGTCTTTGCTACTAGAGGCTACCCACATCCCTTCTCATGGTTTCCATGTGGCCCCCTCTAGCAACAGCAAGTGGAGTCCCTTTCATGATTCAGATCTCCTGATTTTCCTTCTGCCTCATCTGTATTAACTCCCAGCTACAGCCAAGTTCTCTGCTTTTAGACTGGGCCTGCCCACAAAATCCAGAGCAATCTTCCTATTTTAACCCTGATTATATTTGCAAACTCCCTTTTACCATGTTATACAGTATATAGGTAAAGACTCTGGGGATTAGAGAATAAACATCTTTTTTGGGGGGTGGGGGGGGTGCCTACTAGAAACCCAAACCCTATGTAAGACTTTAAACTCAATTCCTAAAGAAAATTTCTGCTTTCTCCAAAAGAGTATATCAAGTAGCCCTAGCCAGTTTGGCTCAGTGGTTAAAGTGTCGGCCCACGGACTGAAGGGACTTGGGTTCGATTCCAGCCAAGGGCACGTACCTTGGTTGCAGGCTTGATCCCCGGCCCTGGTTGGGACACGTGCCAGACGCAACCAATCAATATGACTCTCTCACATCAATGTTTCTCTCTCTCTCAAGAGCAATGGGAAAAATATCCTTAGGTGAGGATTAAAAAAAGAAAGGTATGTAAAGTAAAAGTGTATGCTCAGAGATAAAGACAACAGTATAATCAAAAACTCACTCTGAAGGTTGTGGCTAGGTGACAGGAGAGCTTAAAAATACATTGTGGAAAAGAAGCTGCCATTTATTTCATCCCCAATACAAGGCAATTAATTAACCCATTATGCAGAAAGTAACTCATTGCTTTCCCTTAAATGCGTGCTTCTCTACTGTATTCTGTATAAGAGGACATAACTAGGCATCAGTTGCCCCAGGATGACCTACCTTTTTAATCAACGAATTAATAAATCAATCTAAGTAAATTTCCAATCCTTTTGTTCCTTTTTCAAGGAATACACCCTCCTCCAACAGAAATTCGCCTATTTCAAAGTCACAGAAGCACAAACCCACCCAAGTAAAACTACAAGTGAACTTTTTTTTTTTTTAAAATCCTCACCCAAGGATATTTTTTCCATTGCTTTTTAGAGATAGTGGAAGGGGGAAGGAAGAGAAACATGGACTCCAGACACACATAGATTGGCTGCCTCCCACACGCCTCAACCAGGAGGGGATGGAGCCTGCGACAGAGGTTCATGCCACTGGCCGGAAATGAACCCTAGACCCTTCAGTCCAAGAGCAGAAACTCTAACTACTGGGCCAAACCAGCCAGGTGTGCAGGTTAACTTTTTAAAATGGTATGAGGGAGTGCCTGGCCCACGTGGTTCAGCAGTTGAGCATTGACCTATGATCCAGGAGATTGTGGTTCTATTCCAGGCAGGTGGGTTGCAGGCTCCATCCCCAGTGGGGAGTGCAGGAAGCAGCCCATCAATGACTCTCTCATCATCGATGTTTCTATCTCTCTTTCCCTTCCTCTCTCTGAAATCAATAAAGATATATTTTCAAAGAATAAAACAGTACTGGTCCTGATCTTTCACCCCAAGGTCCACCAAGCCACTTAACCCAAGACTTACAATGAAACAAAAACACTGCAGCAACTACAAAGTTAATATTCTGAAGCCTTACCTACTGTTAAGATTTTTAACTATAAATTTTACTTAGAACGAAGGAACCCCAAATATACCAGCTCGTCCCCTTTAATAATAGTTACTGTAACATCTATTGAGCACTTACTACCTGCCAGGCACTGTGGTAAGCACTCAACACAAGTTATCTCACATATTTATTCCTCACCATAAACTTTATCTAGATAATAGTATCACCCCCATTTTACAGATAGAAAAACTAAGGTTTACAGAGGTTAGGTCACACAACTAAGTAGTAGTTGCACTGATATTTGAGAACCCAGGAAGTCTGGTTCTTTACCACTTCAACCCCTTAGAAGGAGATCTCCCAACTCTTAAGAAAAACCTTTCCTTTCTAGCTTTCTCTTCATTTCCTCTCTTCCTACCCATCCTTCTCATTGAATTTAGCAGCTGAAAGGTAATCAGGTCTTTCAAGTTAATCTGCCACCTCCTTTTCAGAACTCTTTCCTTCCCACAATACAATAGCCAAGAAGCAACTTCTCCTGACCCCCACTTTGCTTCCCAAAAACAAACTACAGAAGCTCCACCTATCACCTGCCTCAGCTAAAAATGTTCCAATGCTGACGAGAGGGGGGAGATGAGACGGGGAAGAAATAAAAGTCCTACTATTTCAAAAGGTCACAAACTAATATGTATATTCTTAGCCAGCCTTTAATTCTACTTCTCTCTCCCCTTCCACGCAGGCTCCCAACTATCCCTTAACTCCAACCCGGTCTGCCCCCCTCCTCCTTTCTCCTCAGCGACCTCGCCCGGGGTTCCCTCCACCTTGCAGCCCAGTCTGCAGGTGGGAAGCCCAGCCTCGCCCACAGGGACCCTCAGAAGGCTCCCACTCCGGCGGCACTGCTCCGCGGGAGGGTTCACCCCACCCTATCCAGCAGGCACCACTACCCCAGGCGCCGGCCCCCAGCACCCCCTACGGCCGCACCCCTCAAACTCCCCTCCCCCTCTGGCGACCCCCTCCGCCAAGTTGCCTAGTCCCCGCCCCAGTGTAGCCCTCTTCCCCCTAATAAAATGGACTACCGAAGCTAGTTCCCACCCTCACATAAACCTGTCCCCAAGTCTCCCTCCCCGTCCCGGGTTGGGGGGTGGCCCCGGGCCTCCCCGATGGGTTACAGGCGCCTCGGCTGAGGTGTGTGTAGGGGGGGGCAGGGAAAGGCGACGGGCGGCTCCGGAGTCTGCTGGAGGCACAAGGGGCGGCCGCGCCCGGCTGCACCATTCTGGGCCACCCCCCACCCCCCAAAGGCCTTGCCTGGCGGCTCCCACTGTACCTGTGGTGGAAGCGGCCGCTATCGCAGCCGCTCTCCCCTCTCCTCACACAGACAATATGGCGGCGGCGGAGGAGGAGACACACGGCTCGGCC